TCACCTGCCCTCACCTGCTCACCCCTCACCTGTCCATTCACTCACCTGTCCCTACAGCCCCGCCCCCACAACCTTACCTGTCCACCCCTCACCTGTCCCTCACCTGTATCACCTGCCCACTCCTCACCTGTTCCTTTCCCCGCAGCCCCTCCCCCCCTCACCTGTGACTCACCTGTCCCTCACCTGTCCCCTTCCCTACAGCCCCGCCCCCACACCCTCACCTGTGACTCACCTGTCCATCCTTCACCTGTCACTCACCTGTCCCCTACAGCCCCGCCCCCACACCCTCACCTGTCTCACCTGTAAGTCACCTGTCCATGCACCCACCTGTCCCTCACTATCCCTCACCAGTCTCACCTGGCCATCCCTCACCTGTCTCACCTGTCCCTCACCTGTCCATCCCTCACCTGTTCCTCACCTGTCCATCCCTCACCTGCCCATCCCTCACCTGTCCATCCCTCACCTGTCCCTCACCTGTCTCACCTGTCTCACCTGTCCCTCACCTGTCTCACCTGTCGGCTCCAGGTGAGCCCCAGGTGTGGGGGAGGAGCCAAAGGTACAGCACAGGTGTGGGGGAGGGGCTCCAGGTACGTGGGGGGCTTCAGGTGTGGGGGAGGGGCCCAGGTGAGCCCCAGGTGTGGGGGAAAGCCCAGAGGGGGAGGGGCCAAAGGTGAGGACAGGTGTGGGGGAGGGGCCCAGGTGAGCCCCAGGTGTGCGGAAGGAATCCCAGTGAAGGTCAGGTGAGGGGAAGAGCCAGGACAGGTGAGAACAGCCAGGACAGGTGGGACAGGTAAAGGTGGGACAGGTAAAGGTGGGACAGGTGAGAAGGGAGGAGCCAGGACAGGTGGGACAGGTAAAGGTGGGACAGGTGTGAAGGGTTAAACCAGGACAGGTGGGACAGGTGAAGGTCAGACAGGTGAGAAGGGAGGAGCCAGGACAGGTGGGACAGGTGAAGGTCAGACAGGTGAGAAGAGCCCAACAAGGACAGGTGTGAAGGAAAGATCTGGGTCATGTGGGACAGGTGAGAAGGGAGGAGCCAGGACAGGTGAGAAAGGTGGGACAGGTTAAGCCAGGACAGGTGAGAAGAGCCAGGACAGGTGTGAGGGTGTGGCAGGTAGGACAGGTGAGAAGAGCCAGGACAGGTGTGAGGGTGTGGCAGGGGGGACAGGGGTGGTGAACCCCCCCCCCC